ATCACAGTTCGTAGCTGTGCCCAGACAAACTAAAGAGCTGTGCTTCAGAACAACATAAGGATCTCGAGTTATTGCCTTCTTCACACATCAGGCTGATGTTAAGTGTTCACTTAGAGCCAGATTCATGAAGGTATGGAGATCAATGGGTCTGGCTAACTAAGTAGGTCTGAACCAGATCTCTGTCTTTGCACCATCTGGAGCACACAGTGGAGCGTGGTCCTCGGTGCAGTGAGCATCCCTGGCTGATGGAGCCAGCCGTAAGATACCCGTCAGCTGGCGGCTCAGCTCTGGGATGCTGCACAGGTGAGGGGTTACTCCGAAATAGCACGCAGGCATGGGCTCACATTTTTCAGCAGCTCCAGGAATTCCCTTTTCATTACAAAGAGACCTTTTTATTAGCATGCTCCTGTGGTTTTTTGGAGAGCGAGCCTGATGACTCACGTTGCCTGCCTTTCTTAAGCCATTAGTGGGTGTAACATTTGGAGCAAACCAGTTGGATCTGCTGAGGTCAAGACCGTTAGGTTTACGTAGCTGTTCATAGAACAATTTCGGAAATACATTTGACTATAAATTTGAAAAGAAATGGGAAAAAGATATGGACGATATAAGTGGGCACAACTTAATTGTGAGTACAGATGTTTAGCAGACCTTATACATTTTCAGTAATAAAATTATTTATATTCCAAAGACTAAAATGTAAATAGTGGCCCTCGGAAAACACAAGTGTGGAATTTGCTCATCTAAGCAAATCTGTTTCTAATGGTGCTTTATTTTTGTGGCGTTAAAACCTTGATGCAGAACTCTGGGTTCATAAAAATGAGCAACAAGCACCTGCGAGGAGGGATAGATATTAATTCTTGAAAGAAATCTCCAGAAGCAAAGCACTGCTGTCTGTGCTGGCGACACCGTATATGAAAGGGAGAGGAGGAGGGACGAAGCCAGCTTGCACTCCTGACACAAACATGCTCAAACTTGAGGCTTTTGTTACTGGGAAGCACTTCTGCCTGGACTTTAACTGCTCTCTAACAGGATGTCATGGTTCAGTGATGCATTTTGTGTCTCTTACAAGTTTGTGAATCAGTGACAGACTTTTGTTGCTCCAGAACTGAATCGATGCATCCTGCGATAACTTAACTTAAACGTTCCCAAAGCATTTTCAGTCACCCACGTGTGTGACATTCTCTTTAAAAGCAGAGGACCACAGGTGAGCTTTTCAACATGGCCTGAAGGCTGAGTAAACCCAAACTGTCCAAAGATCATAGCAGGGCTGGTTCATGACCATATTTAAAATGTTGAACGGACTGTGGACTGTGTAGTGACCTCCGTGTGAGGTGAAATTCTGACCCTGCTTGTTTAATGGCAACACTCATGTTGACTCCTGAGGGGTGACGATTTTGCCCAGTGCTCTGCTAGAAGAACAGCTAGGGTAAGCAAAAATGCTGCTGAGCAGAGGAATAAGCTAGAGCAGAAGTTATAAGAGCTTTCTTGCATGTTTTTTAACGTACTGACTGGAACAGGGTCATAGTCTGTTTTAAGGACTTCCGAAAGCTGGCGGTTGCCAGGGTAGGCTGTGGGCTAGGGATGGCTCAGATTTCCTGTTCCTTTTGCTGCTTCTTCACTGCTTTAACTAGCTGCCAATGCCACTCTTCTCCTTAACTCTTCTTCCTCTTTCAAAATCGGTGCAAACGCAACTTGAGATCCTGCTAGTCCCATCCATGGACAAATGCTGGTTTCTTTTGCAAAAGTGAAAATAAACCACCTACTGCGTTTTCTTCTCAGGGTCATCTGGACTGCATGGGGCTCTAGCAAATGTGACAACTTCATATCAGACCTCTGTAAATATGTTTTCCAAGTAATTTGCCCAAAAGGGCGCTCGAATGAACATTGCAAGCAAGCTGTCCCTTTGCAATGACAACCACGGAGATGCAGTGCATGACAATGGCGTGCCAGAGTTGTTTTATTAAATTTGGTTCATCTAAAATCCTTAGGTGAGTTTGACCTTGAATCTGCATTCTTCTCTGAAAGCTGTCTAAACTAAAACTCTTTCTAAAAAAAAATACTTCAGGAAATGGCTTTTTTCTGGTTTTGAGAAGCAACTTTCAGAGACTTGCCAAGCGCTGCTCAGAAAGGCTCATAGTAGCTGTAGGAATAATGGTGTCCTGTTTTCTTTTCCTGGCTGGTAGATGCTGAACAACATCCCTCTGTTGTCTGCAGTTCTTGATGTGTTTTTCCAATTTACCAGCCTTACCTGGAGGCCACTGACACCCTGAAACATAAAGTGCTACTATGGCTCTACTTTCAGGTTTCTGTCCCAGTGGTAATGCTTACAACCCCTGTGCGGGTCACTTTCAGGCAAAAGCCTCTTTTTACCCTGTCCGCTGTAACACCCTGGCACTGATCCCGTCATCGTCGAGTTTCATGGAAGCATCCGCATAAACAGTTTTGCAAGATAAAGGTCCGTGCCCCGTGTAATCAGTGATGGAAACTGCTTGCTCTTCTAACAGCGTGAGTTTGGATAACGGTTGAGTAATGACTATTAACTTAAAATGTCCTACTGTTAGTCATCCTGTCATAGCCTCCGTGTTCAGAGTTGTATTTAATAATCCAGCCTCTGTTCTGCTCCTGCTTTAATCTTTGCTTGAAAATGGAAGCCTCTTCTGATAACTTTGAAATTACAAAAGTATTACACCCATTTTTCATCATTCACTCCCTTTTGGGAAAGAGGGAAGTAGCTGGCACATTTGGACTCTGCCCTTGAAAATAAAGATGAGCTCGTTAATAAGTTGGAGCCTTAAAGGCACTTCCTGAAAGGCAGTCGTCTTCTGAGCCTTCTGGGGTTGCTGAAGCGAGAGGAGGAAGATAAGAGGTTGATTGTAGTGGGTTGTTTGGAGTATACAGAGGCCATGCAGTTGTACAGCTGCACATTTCATCAAATAATAATTTCCTTGATATGTGATCATTATTAAATACAAACATAATGACTCCAATAAAACAATCGAGTCTCTTTCCTGCAGTCTCTCCCTGTTGTCTGTCTGCAATGTTGAATGACAAGCAAGCATCGAAAGAAAATCATTTATGCCTTTATAGTGGACTCATTGTAGTGTCATGGTCCACAGGCTTTCGTTTAATTGTCTTACATGGAAACGGTTTTTTAGAGGCTGAGGCAGGAATAGGGAGAAGCAGGGAAGGTGAGAGCAAAAGCACGTTTTGCCTTGCGGAGTTGCCTTTTACTTATGAGAAATAAGGCTGATGTTATCACCCATTTTCTAATCAAATTTGACAGGAGCATTTTGTGAAGCCACTTTCTCTGAGTGGGAATTCTGATGAATACGGCTCTCATCTCCGGTTTCTAAGTATTACTTTACACCGTTCCCAAGCATTGTTTGCCTTAATGGGTGAATTATTGCAGTATGTCAGAGAAGCAGATAATTCACAGCCTCATTTTATAAACTGAGAGGCCAAGGCACAGTAGCTTAACTTGCATAGCTGTAGAGCAGTAAATGGAGCCCAGGTCACCTCCCAGCCTACTCTTGGTTTGATGAAAAGTTTGCCAATGTGGCCTCAGTATTTCTCTTCAGGAAATTACAGCTACTGGAGAGCGTCACAACTTTTTGCCAGGGACCTGCTTGTAAGTGAAGTGGAGACAGGCGGTGCTGCCAACGTACTCCTGACGTGCTTCTGTTTCAGATGCTCTTTTTGCCACTAAGTCTGTGTGTTGATAGCACTGAGAAAGGAGTTACCTCCACTTGATCTTCTGCCCACCTGGCTCATGGCTCTGTCCTTGAGTCAGTGGGCTGTTGGTCACTTTTGGAGCTGGTCTTTTTGGAAAGATAAACCGTAAATTCATTTGGAGGCCGAAGCAGATTTTGTATGACTGTGGCATGGCCCAGTGCAATAAAGTTCTTACCAGATTTTGCATACTCAGCTGCATAGCCCCTATCAGGACTTGCACACGTGTTAATGTTGCTTGTAAGGTCCATCTCTGTTTGCAGAGGATGCACGTTGGCCACCCTCTTCTTCTGTGAGTAAACTACTACTGCAACATCAAATGATAATTTATATAAAGCATATGTTACTCTTGCTCACTGAGGCTGACTGGCTGAGACTGGGTAAAAGATGCAAATCCAAACTACCGTCCCTTGTTATGTTTGGACATTTTCAAATCACTGCAGTGGTACAAAATGGTTCCCTTCTGCCAGTTTGTGTAGCCAGCTGATCTCAGCACTTTGGAAACAGGAGCAGTGCTGGTGGGAACCAGCCTTCGCAGAAACCCACTGGCAGTTGAGATAAACCCTTTGCACCATCGCTAACGGCCATGGTGCTCCAACTCAATAAATCAAGGGGTGGTGAGAGGCCTGTATTTAATTTTTTTTTGCCTTCTTGGGAAGCATTTTGATTGTTTGCAGATAATATATTTGGGAACAAGGAGATAAAGCTCTGTTTAACAGCAGTGCTGTTGGAGTACTTAATACATTGAAGAGAAGCGGTGGGATTCAGGCGTGGGAGGAGATGGGCTGGTACTGTCTTTCCTTCTGTCTGGTGGCTGATTTTTAACAATGGATTGCTGAGGCATCCCTAAACCGCAAATTATTCAGGCATATTCAAGGAGGTGATCCTTTCTGAAAGCTGCTGCTGCTGTTTCAGCATTCAGAAACTTCAGGAGGTGCATCTGTGCCTCCGTGGTCTGTCTCACCTGCATGGGTATGTAGGGACGCTTGGACACGGTTCCTGCCTCTGCTAATCAAGTGAGTGCCAAAATTAAAAAGCCCCTTGTCTCTTGCACAGTTTCTCTTTCCTACGCTTAATTAGAAACCAGTAACATTAGCTTTTAAATGGGAATTGGAAATACATAGTGACTTTACTGTAGCAGCGTGCATTGAATGGAGACCAGTTCCCCTTTGCTGGGGCAGAAGCTGGTGGCACACAGCAGCTTCTCAGCGGGCACCTGCCACCTGCCCCCTCCGCGCCTGGCGGGCGCCCGTCCCTGCGCTGCCGGGCGCATGGTGCGAACGGGGCGGCTTCGAGGAGTAAAACCAAAGCTCGGTGCTGTCTGCGGCCAGCAGCATTGTGAGCCCGGTGGCAGGAGGCTGCAGGGAGCCCTCTCCATGGTCCCAGAGCAAGAGGAGCAGAGAGGGCAGCTGGGAAGACTGTGTAGGGGACGTGCGTTTGCTGCAAGCAGTATGTTGATATTTTGTGATACTGTGGAAATCTTGTTTCCAAGGTAGTTAAACCAGGTTTATTCTGAGTTCAGTTTATTGTAAACTCAGTTTATTTATCACTAAACTGAGTTTATTGATTGTAGTGAGTTATTTTGCAGAGGAACAGGAATCCTTTCTTGTCGTAGCCATTTGGAGTGATCGTGTTCCCCGGCACTTCGTTTTTAGGCAGTTTGAGTTTATAATTTGAGTGCTGTTTGGGAGGGATTTACACTTTTTAGGGAGGACTGAGCAGCACCTTTCTCAACAAATGGTTGGCAAGAGCGGCTGCTTTGGGAGTTCAGATCGCCTCACTGACCCTCGCCAGCACTGACTCCCGGCACACCGCGGCACGAGACGCTGAAATGGAGCCTCACCAGCCCCGACCCGCTGCCCGCAGCCCTCCCTGGGTCCGCGCTGACCGAACTGAGGTGCTGGCTCAGCCTTCCCAAACTTCCCAGCAGTGCCCTTCATCCTTCTTCCCAAGCAGGCTCCGAAACCCATCTTCTGCAACACCTTGTTTCCAGAAGGGCATTAAAAACTTCTCAAAACCATTTTTTCCCTTTTCCTTCACTTTGTGAGAGTAATCTTTATTCACAGGATAAAACTAACACCTCATATTTTCATGCTCTTGTAGACATGAAGTTTCAACGGTGGGAGAACCAGTAACCCCTCTCATCCCCAACCGATTGGGTTTGTTTTTTTTCCGTGGAATAACCTTTTTATTTCCAGGCTTTATTTATTTTGTTGTGGGGTTTTTTTTGAACAAGCACAACTACCAATGTATAGACCTAGCCTGGTGTAGCTTTTTTGCTGACGTTGCCCATCCATCTGTACTGTGTGTTGAGGGGATATATTTATACTTTGGTTATTGAGTGTCAGTTAAAATTTTGTTACCTTGCAATTTAATAGTAACTGACCCTTGTTTCCTAGTCTTCAAAACACATGGTGCCTTATTTCCTACTTTACTGAAACGACTCCTACTTTTTCACATAATGGGCTTAGGAAAGCAGTGTCACTTAACCATCGGCAGTCCTTAATATTCCAGTATGTCAGTGAGTTTTCAACCTGAAAAACCTGCATTTCCCTGCAATTGGGAATTGGTCTGCCGATGGCCATGGAAGATTTTTATTTGTTTCTTCGTCTCTGCTGTTGGAGTTGTGCCACGTTAGGCTCTGAGATACTTTTATTTGGCAGTGACCAGAGAAAAATGCTCATGTTTTGAGAGAGAGATCCTCTTTTTGTTGTGGACATTGTCCTTTTCCTCCAGTTGCTTTCTCTCCATTATGCCTTTCCCTGTCTTCTGTATTGCTTTTCGAGTTACCAGAGTCTATTGCAGCTTGTGCAAGTGCAGCATCGCCGGAAGAAATGGGTCTGGATCCAGGCTGGAGTCTGTATGCTTTTCCCAGCTCCCCGTATGCAGCGAGGCTACAGCTCTTCAGTGTTACCAAATAATATTATTTCAAAAGCTCCTTATAAAAACACGAGTAATTGGGCAAGTGACAAAGGACTTTCTGTTTATCTTTTTGAACAATGGAAAATGCCAAATAGCCACAATTTGTTCCAGTTATTTAGTGTCTTTGTTCCAGAGCCATTTCGTGGGCACAGGATTTAATTCTGCAAGAACACAGGAAGATGGTGACTTGTTGTCATATTTAAAAAATAAATAAAATTATTAAAATTTTCAAGTTTCTTTACTAGGAAAATATTTTTTACTTGTGCAATACCATTTTTAAAGCCTAAGGAAGATATTTTACTGTATATTACAAGTCTACAGTTATTTTAATAATCAGTGAGACTTTTAAATAGATGCTGATATCTTTGCCGTTCCAGAGAATACTACGGTTTGGAAAAGCGTTCTACAAAGATTGATGTTTGTACCCTGAGAATAGTAGATTTGACTTGCAAATAGGAACTAAGTAATTATCAAAACTAACGCTAACCAAAACAAAATTATATTGAATTTTAATAGGCTGATCAAAGTTGGTAATGCTGGTTAAAGTGGGAAATGGAAGAATGTGTGCTTCTAAAAGGGAAAACTTTGGAGGAGGAACACTTGCAGAAAATTATTCTTGCTGTCATGGAGTTGTAAGAAACTGAGATGAGTGAGGGTATAGAGCAAACACTGCCACCGCCTGGCAATGTAATGAGAAATATGTGCGTGGTCTGAGGTGGCAGGGACGTGTGGTGCACTGGTGATGTGTGTCAGTGGTGTATGAGGCAGTATGTAGTGTTAGTTTATATTCTGGAGGAGCAAAATTCTTTTGAGGAATTGAGTCTAAGAGAGAATTGGATCGAATCTCCTAGGTTTATTTCTAAAATGTGGAAATAAACTGTCCGTGCATGCCCACTCGCTTTGCTTCTCGTCTTTTGACATCTCAAACCCTTTTCTTTTAACTCTTCTATCAAGGAGTTGGGCCTCATGACACATAAAGCTACTGGGAAGAACTGTGTTTTAATTTCATTTAATTGTTCCGTTCTGGTCTCTGGATAAACAAGAACTGATCTCTTCCCGAGGTGGCAGATATCCCTGAGGTCTGCCTGGTTAATAGTCCGTTTGATTCTACAGTTATTACGAATCCATTTTACAGTTGCTCTGGAAGACTGGACACCTGTCTTCTGGTTGACATGCCTACACTACAGGCAGGACTCTCATCAGGGTTCTCACCTGCCTTGTGTTTTGTTTTTCAGGTGGTACCCGAGAGATTGGGTCTGCTCTCACCAGGATGTGTATGAGGCACAGAAGTATAGAGTCCAAACTCCGGCAGTTCTCAAGGTGAGTGGCTCTGTACCTGGCTGGAGCTCAAGGTTCGTCTTTCGTTTGCTGTTGGGGAACACGTAAAGCTGTTAACCAGCACTGGCTTTCCAGCTGATCTCTGACCCTGTCACTGTGCACAGCAGTTGTTTTCTCCCCCACAGCACACTAGGTCTTGTGAACATGCAGGATTTCACTGCATGTTCTGGGGACTGAGCTTGTCACCTCAAATCACTCTAAATGCTGCCCATTCCCACTCTCGGTTCCTGATGCTCAGTGCTGAGCAGGAGGCCGCTGACATGACCAACCTGTCTTTGTTTCAGGGCTTTAAGCTTTGTCACTAAGCTTTAAAGCAGCGGCAAGTGTTGTGCTGCCTCCGTAGCTTACTGGAGAGCCCAAACAGCTTGCAGACGAGAGAGAAGCTTTCAGCAAACCAGTATGGAAAAGGCGAACTCTCTCATCCCCTTTTTGCAGTTAATGTTAGACTGTAGAGGTGATGGGAGAGGATTAACTCATGTGTAAGCTGAGGTGTACATCAACAACCTAGTTCTGTAGTAGTTAGTAGTTTGCACATGTGCCTTTTTTAACCAGACCTGAAAGTTATACATGACCTGAGGTCAATCAAAATGGTGCTTCACCATTTGCTTGATGACCTGGGATGTTTTTTCACTTTTAAAATAAAGATATTTGTAAAATTGACTGAGAGGAAACAACTTCAGTCTCTAGTTACCCCAGAGTTAGCTGTTTACGTGATTCAATCCCAATCTCATTAATTAGTGGAGTGTTAGTGCTGTATCATGGACTCCACTGGTGAGAGGTGAGGCACATCGGTGGGCAGGATGATGTTCACTTGTACAACTGCTCTGTCTTCTTGTGTATATACATGTGTTATTTAAGTTTATAATCTTCATGGCTACGTGAACATTTCCAGTCTCCAGAGTATCCATTTAAACTGCTCTTTGTGTGACAGATGAGTAGGATCTAACTGTTTACATTGGCGCTCTTTCGGGTCACTCCTCTGGTTTATGCTCTGTTCCTCACTGTCCTGAACTTCTGCGCAGTAATTCTGGTTATCTTGTGATGTGGATTTTCTTTTGATCCAGTTCTTTCTTTTGCTTTCTCCAGCGTAAACAGTTTTATGTTCTGATATTTACATTGTGACACTGGTAGCTGTCGCAGCAAAAAGTAAAAATACTCCAATATTGACCTTGGCTCTCTGTATAAGAATAGGGGCATCTGCAGGATTTGATTGCTCTTTGTGTTTTTTCAACAAAATTAGTGCTTTAATTGACTGTCTGATAAACCCACTTCAAGAACAGATGGAAGAGTGGAAGAAAGTGGCCAATCAACTGGATAAAGACCATGCAAAAGGTAGTTACAGAGGAAGAATTCTTTAATAGGAGTAAGATTGTAATATCAGCTTTTCTTCCTCTTTTCATGTTTGTACTGGGGAAATGAATGACGCGCTTAAATATGTATAGCAATTTTTCTCTTCTGAAACACTCCGTTTCCAAAGTGCCTACCAAATTTCTAACCCTTGCATATACAGTTTGAAGGTTTAGTTTGCAGGACCCCAAGGGATGGGTTGTTTCTCTAGACTGGTAAGCAATGAGTAGTTTTAACTCTGTTAGCCCACTCTGTATGATCTCCAGTAGTGCTGAGGAATGGGGATGCGGCATCTACCCCTGAAAAGCCCCAGAGTGTAGTTAAAAGCTAAGATCATGTTATGTCTCAGTCATAGCGTCCTCTGGAGAATGCACAGCCCTGTAAAACATTCAGCATCGTTATTTTATATCTGACGCAATGCAGAAATGTGCACCCGGGGAATGGGAAAGCTAGATCATTGCACATGGGATGCTCAGAGCTGCATTGCTGACTGCTCTAGAGGCTTTCCTGGGGGAATGAGCAAGAGGCAGCAGAGTCTTGCACAGCAAGAGCGTGTTGGTAGATGCCTTTGGCTTTGCATACTTGTGCTGGGGATGGTGGCCCTCTAGCATAGCTGCTGAAAGCAGGTTACAGTTCACTACTGACCCTTGAAAACTGAAGACTTTCGCGATACCTGAAAGTAGCAGCATCACCATAATTTAATTTAGGGAGAGTGAGCACTGATGGGAAGGAGAGTGCGTGGCCTCCAAAAGAGGGTTTGCTTCTTGCCCTACTATTACTGTGGTCAAATAGAAGCAGCTAAATCAGCGACTCTCGAAAAAATTTCCACCTTGTGCTGTAGAGAATGTTAAGCAGGTAATAAGCAGGAGAGAGGAATCACCTGGGTTCCTGCAGGTTGGGGTGACCCTGGCCAAAGTGGCAGTGAGATTTAGGGTTTAGAGGGTAGACTTGAGTGTTGGGGGTGCAGTTGGCCCTGGTACAGTTCTGTGCCCACCACCAGTCTGCTTCTGTTTTTCCATCTATAGAAGAGTAATGACGTTTACCTCCTTTGTTACAGTGTGTGTGTATATGTATATACAAGCATACATGCCTTTTATCTTTTTTTTTGAAGCATGAGTTTTCACATCTGGTACCTTTAGGGTGCCTGGACTAGAGGTGGAATATTTTACTCTGGGATTTTAAATCCCGGGATTTGCAGCTCATCTGAAAATGAGGACAACTGCAGTGTGCTCCATTTCATCAGAAGGACCCTTCCTTGGGCAAAGTTTTAGCACCCTCTCCTTCTGCCTGCCTCTCATGCTGGAGAGGGATCACAGGATATTCTCTGCCTTGCCATTTCTGGATACTTGTTTTTGAACACAGATGTTTCGAGAAACCTGTCATCTCTGTTTTCCATTCCTGAGAGTGGATGAGTCTCTGAAATGAAAAGCACTCTAATTTAGTACTGTCTTCTCAGTTGTTATTTCTGTAAAGGCTTTGTTTATTTGGGAAAGATTTTGGTATGTGAATGTGCTCCCACCCTAAAATGTTATGTTAAGCCAAATGTATAGACACTACAAAATACGAGTTCTAAGTCGCGTTCATTAATAGTAGCTGTCCTCTTAAAATTTGTAGTCTAATGTCTTTAAACATAGCCTTTTCTGTGAAAAACATTCATTTTGACATCGAGTATGTTGATAATAGAGGCTGTGTGTTTTTTTAGAATACAAAAAAGCCCGCCAAGAGATAAAAAAGAAATCGTCTGACACACTGAAGCTGCAGAAGAAAGCAAAGAAAGGTAACTTGCTTCATACTTGCACTGTTAAAAACCTTTTGTACCACGCTCATTGACAAAGATTGAACAGTGACAGGGCTTTCTATTGTAATAATTCGGTCCCCTGTGATGTATTCCTGGTATGTACTTGAACGCCAGGGTACAATTACTATGTGTCATTTAAATCATATTCTGAAGCTGCTGTCTGATGTTCTTACACAAAAGCCTTAAAACTGTTTGTACAAAGTCAATCATGTTTTAAAATAGAGCGCTTGCTGCTAACTTATTCCTGTTAGGAATGTTGACGCTGTAGCATGACTTGTGCGGATACCTGGAAAATTTGCTAGAATCTTTTGGAATAACGTAAGACATTGTGTAAACGTTCTGTAACTATTAACATTTCTCACTGTTCGCCCTTTCTACCACCTTTCTTCTTTTTTTTTTTTTTTTTTAAACAGCCTGTAATCTCCTAAACCCTGCATTATTCCTCAGAGAGTGAGAAGGTGGCATGGGTTGTTGTCAGGGGGAGGGCACTTGGCAACCATAGAAAACTAAAGATGAGTAAGAAAAGAAAGGGAGTTCTCCACAAAGGCAATCTGTCCTTTTTAGCAGCTGAATCTTGTGTTGCTCTCCCACCACCATCTTGTCACTGGAGCTTTATCATCATGTTAATGGAAATGTGCATCACTGCTAGCTGCACGTTTGCCATCACTAAGGGTTTTACTTGGCCAAGAGCAAACCCCACCAAGCTTTGGAAAAATGATACGGAGTTTGTACAGAAGCAGACTTTCTGGTTCCCTTTCCCAGCACTGGGCTCTTCCCAGCTGGGTAGGAAGTGTTCTTTGAGCAGCTCTCAGTCTGCAGGTTGCAACTTGTGCTTCCCCTCCTGCCTAAAAACTGTGGGCCCAGGAATAAGCAAAATAAATGCCGGAGCAGAGAGTTTCTTGAACTTTTTAAATTCTGTCAGTGTTATCCAGAACAGGTGAGCTGTCTCTAACTGTCCTTCCTAATAGGTGAGTCAATAATTACACTGGTAAAACGCCACATGACTGGCCAACTGCTCTTGAATTTTAGCTGAGTTTAAATGAGGGATGAGAGAGGGAGAGATGGAAGCCAGCAAGAGGGAGCGTGACTTAGTAGGCTCTGTGTGTCTGTCTGTCTGTCTGTGGAAAAGTTGAGTGTTTTAAATCAGAATGGTCATCTTCAGGAGGATGCGAGTTTTTGTGATAAGATTTTATTTTTGGGTGATGCGTAAGCGCGTTTCTCATTTTGTGTGTGACAAATTGTCTGACTTCAGACCAACAGCTTTAGAGAGTCTGTGATACTCTCTGTTTCTTTCCCTTTCTTCCCCCCTTTTCTGGTCTCATTGCTTCTTGTTTCCGTGTGATACAAGCAACCCCCCAGTGCATGGTAGGTGAGAGCTGAGAAAAGCATGTCGGTGATCTGGGAAGAAGGAACCATTTTTTGAACCTGTTTCTATGAATTGACAGCTATCTGGCTCCATCTCCCTTTTATCCTGCTTCTGAGTATTGAATAAATCAGTCTTGCAGGAGGAGACAGCATTTTCTGTAAGGTGGGAAGAGGAGAGAGAAGCACTTAAAGCCTGCTGGAAAAGAACCTCACTGTTCTTATGCTGCAGAGGCCACCATAGGTGTCTGTCAGCAGCGGTTAAAGCAAGTGGACTTTCTCCTTGGATTTTCTGGGTTCCTGTCTCCCTTCTCAAATGTGTGCCATGCCTAGTGACAACAGTCAGCACGCTGGTGTCTAGTTCTCCTTCAGGATCAGACATCTTTGAGTGGGGAGTGGAACAGACCTCATTTTGCCATCATTTTTATAGCAGCCATGCTATGATTGAAGTTTTTTTTTTTTCTTTTTTTTTTTAAAAAAAAATGTCACTCCCTTGCTTAATTTTGCTGTTACGACGTGGTTTTGGAGTTGTTAATGAACTTGTTGTATTTTTGTGCTGTCCCCCTTGGAACTGCTGTCACGTACATGGTGTTTGAGTCCAAAGCACAAAACCCAGTAAGACTGAGGTGGAGGTAAAGCTGGTCATAGAGGGATGTGTACAGGTAAAGTAGAAGCAACAAAGACTCCCAGGTAGCCAGTACAGGGGAAAGGATAAGCTGCAATATTTTTGAGGAGCTGAGAGTTGTTCTCATGGTTCCTGGGGAGGAAAGATGTAGTGAGGTATTGAGGCTCAGAGAGTGATGAGAATGTCCAAAGCTGCTGGCCCTGTGGATCCCCAGCACAAGTGGGCAGGAGATGGGAGGAAGTTCACTCTGCCTTCTTGCAAGTTATCTACAGCATTTAAATATTGAAGAAAAAAGAGTAGGAGTTGCTTTTTCCCCCTCTTTGCCTTTTTGATCCCTGCCTTGAAGCAATAAAGCATTGGTCTGAGTGCAACGTCAAATGTTGTCATGAAAACTTTTTTGTATGTACCCACCTCGACAGATCTGTTCAGTGTGCTATGTGGTGAAGGATGTTGCTCTTGCTGTCATGGAGGGATAAAAAAAATCAAGAAGGGGTTTATAAAATAATAGAGCTGCAGAAGCAATTCTGCTATAGGTCACAAATGAGGACAGGGAAATTCTTGGGTGAAACCGTCCTGGCAGACATGTGGCTGAATGCATGAATGTCTTACCACATGTGTCTTCAACTCCCCTGTTTCCCTGTTGCTCAGACTTACTTTTTTTGTTCTGTTCTTCCTCAAGCAGGACCTATCCCTTTGATTTTTCTGTAAAGTTACTGACTCACCTATGGGAACTCTAAACCAACCAATTCATTCCCTTCCTAGTGCTTGTAAGAATATTTTTGAATTAACCTTTACCATCATCTGTGGGCAAGTGAGATGTTGGCTGAATTCTGGATTTGCTTAAATACTGTGCATGCTGCTAAAAACGTCCTTCAAGCTTTTTCTGCTGTGTCTGGATGGAAAAGTGGTTTTCTTATGTTTTGGGCAGCTTCAGATCTAGGAACTCAAATATAACCCTCTACTTTTCTTATGTGTGTCATGGCCATGGTGTACTCTCTCCCTGCTGCATCGGGCTGCAGAGGCTCCCTCTTGTAGCTGACAGCTGCAGCATGCGTAGCAGCTCCTTGCTCCTTGCCTGCTGCATCTCAAGGATGTTTGGGAGAGAGGGACATGGGCTGTGTGGCTTGTCCTGGCAGGAGCGCTACATGTTGGGCACTCCAACTTAGCTGAATACGTTGGGGTTTGCCTGTTCTCTGGCTTGTGCATGGCCTGTTTGTTCTGGTTCCATGCAGCCAAGTTGAAAGTTCAGGCCAGACATCTAAGATTATTAGAAATTATCTTTACAGAGTAGGTATGTTAACTTCAATAAAGGTGTTTCCAGAGCATGAAGTGATGGGGAAAACACCATGCTTTCCAAATAAAACAAAAAAGGTGTTAGGGGTCGTTTTTGGAAGTTTGCAGGAGTGTATCTGGTAAAATGACAAGTCTATGTGTAAATGAAGATTTTACATTTCAAAAGACCTTACAAGGATAGTTTTCATTCTTTTTGTTGTCTTTGATTATTAAAAAAAAATAAAAATCCCTATGAAGTCTAAATATATATGGTCTAAATAGGATCCTGATGTACCTCTCAGATCTGTGCAGTCCCTGGGAGTGTCATGGTGATCTTCAAGGTGCATCTTTTTCCTTACTCCCTTGTTCCCAAGGGGAACAGACCCATAGGGCATGTTGTCGACCCCAGCATTGATACTTAGCTCTTGTCTGAACAGGTGAAGCAACGTAGTGCATGGAACTGCGTTATTCCTCTAAATTGCTCTTTGTTTTCAGGCAAAGATTGGACATCAGAAATCAGCCCAGCTAACCTGAGTCAGCAGAGTAATTATCCATAAATTTAAAATAAATTCCATGTTTAGGTTTCTGCTGAGTCAAGGCCTTATAAGTGGATCTGTAGCTGCTAGAAGCAGTTGATGCTATACTGAATTCAGAGGAGAGACAGCAGCTGTGGCTCTGCATGTGTAATCATTTTGGAAGGTTAACAGTTAAAATGCATGATTCTTTATTTAAAAAAAAGCGTCAAGCGGCTAACTTAAAATATAGGTGAATGTATATGTACAAACAGGAGTGCATGTTGGCTTTATTTTCTGTATTTCAGCTTGGCTTTTAATGATTAACTAGGCAGGTTTCCCTTCTGCCTGTAACTTGACTGGTAGGTTTCATTTTCAGGTTCTTCATGAGGCACTGTGTGCGAGCTTGGAGGAAAACGTTTAAATCCAAGCAGATATGTGAAAAGGAGTGATGTGTAACTTTCCCAATAGTATAACACGTGTTAATGTGAAAACTGTGTTTTATCTCTAAGCCATTCGTAGAAGTTTCTGCAGAGCGCTCTTAACATTCAGTACATTTCATCTTGTGTCCCATCACTGTTGAGTATCCAAACTCACAACCTCTGGTTTGGAGTATGCAGCAGTTTTGGCAAGTATTCTTGCTTTTAATAAAGTTGAGAGGGTAGAACATTATTGCTAATTTACCGTAATAGTGCCAAAAGTGCTTTTTCTTCCCCTCCTGGTTAGCAGAGGTGACCTGTTTGTGTTTTAGAGTCTTTGCCAGCTGCTTTTGTGTTACACTCTGGTCTTTCAAACTGTAATATTGTTGTACTCCTCTCAAGGATGATTGCGAGAGCCCCGTGATTCTTGACTGAAAAACATGAAGCTCTTCAACATAATTACAACCATCTCAACAGCTCAGTTCTTAAAGCAAATGCTGACCTTCTCATTCAAGTACTTTACAGTCTTTCTATACCTGGCACTCGACCTGTCTGGAGTGGCAGGCTGGGGAGGGAGAACACCTGGCCAGATCCTTTCTCTGCCAGGAGGTAGCCTTGTTCCTCTAAATTGACCAAGTGTGGCATGATGACTGAAGTGAGAGCCAGGACTCACTGTGGAGTCAGTTTGATACAGCTCAGAAGGAGGGAAGCTAATGAGCAAATTATCCTTATCTGTTGCAGGAAAAAAATCCTGTGTGGATGAGGCCATGTGCCTGCGGGGTGGTTTTG